GCGTCCTACTCTGTGACCCCATGGACTGCAGCCCACCAGGCTCCTCTGTCCATGGGATTCTCCAGGCAAGAATACTGGCGTGGGTAGCCAGGCCCTCCTCCAGGGGATCTTCACAACCCAGGGATCAAACCCGCATCTCTATGTCTTCTGCACTGGCAACTGAATTCTTTACCACTAGCACCACCTGGGAAACCCTAGACACCTTTAAAGTACAAAGTTTGCCTTCACTCCTGAGGGAGAAAGATGTCTAAGGGGAGGAGAGAGTGACCGTAAGGGGCTCCCTCCTCCACACTATTGGTGGTCTTATCTGAAGACCCTCCGCTCCTCCTCCTGCTGGTGGGGGTCTCCTCACTTTATTTCTCTTGCCAAGAAGTGAATAGATCTTTCTTGTTCGCCTTCTCCATGCTTAGGAAGTGAAAGTCGCTCGGTCGTGTCCAACTCTTTGCGATCCCATGGACTATACAGTCCATGGAATTCTCCAGGCCAGAATACTGGAGTGGGTAGCCTTTCCCTTCTCCAGGGGATCTTCCCAACCCAGGGATTGAACCTAGGTCTCCCTCATTGCAGGTGGGTTCTTTACCAGCTGAGCCACGAGGGAAGCCCCAGGATGCTGGAGTGGGCAGCCTATCATTTCTCCAGCAGATCTTCCTGACCCAGGAATCGCACCAGAGTCTCCTGCACGACAGGAGGATTCTTCACTAACTGAGCTCTCCTGGCCCCATATGTAAGTCCCATGAGACCCATAGGTCTAAGACAGAATCTCTGCTCCTTGGTGCTGCAGTTTAACTGGGGAGAGCAGACCCTCGTCTGAGAAATATTAAAGCATCCTTGTATCAGTCATCTTGGGCTGCTGGAAGAAACTCCCACTGGCTGGGTGCCTAAACAACAGAAGTTTATCTTCCCACAGTTCTGGAGATGAGAGTCCAATATCAAGCTGCTGGCAAGTTCAAGTCCCAGTCAGGGCTATTCCTGGCTGGCAGACAGCCACCTTCTCCCTGTGTCCTCGTGGGACTTCGTCTCTGTGAGCTCACAGGAAGAAAGAAAGGGATTTCTGATATCTCATCCTCTTCTTAAGGATGCTAGTCTTATGGGACTGGGGCCTCATATCTATGACCTCACTTAACCTCCGTTTACCTTTTCATAAGCTCTCTCTGGTGGCTCAGACAGTAAAGAATATGCCTGCAGTGCAGGAGACCAGGGTTCAATCCCTGCGTCGGGAGGATCCCCTGGAGAAGAGAATGGCTACCCACTCCAGTATTCTTGCCTGGAGAATTCCATGAACAGAAGAACGTGGTGGGCTCCAGTCCATGGAGTCGCAAAGAGTCAGACACAACTGAACAACTAATACTAACTAACTAACTAAGCCCTCTCTCCAAACACATGTATGGACGTATATGGACACAATTCAGTCCATAACATGCCCTGTTCCTGATTCCATATGTCCTTGAAGCTAGATATCAGAAAACTGGCCAGTCCAGGGGAGGGTACCCCATGGCACGTGCTTTGGTATGAAAAAGCACAGAGCCTGGCGAGGAGAAAGCACTCAGATTTAATTCTCAGGTAATGTATGCCTGGCTAGCAAATGTGACCAGAGACAGGGGTTAATACCCGGACTCCTTCCCCTTCCAAGAAGACTAGACCTCAGTGAGCAGATGACAGAAAAGTCCAACCACTGGCTTATACAAAGAAGGGTGCTGGAAACTGAGCAGGAACATGAACCTTTCCTTGAAGAAGTGAATGTGCAACCACACATAGATTGACACCAAGCATAGATAAACACCAAAAGGTGGCTATGAGCAAGCCCCCTTATCTATTAGGAGAGCTCCTACAGTTCTTCCACTGCCCAGATCAAATGCAATTCATCTACAGACCATTGTTGTCGTTGTTCTATCACTTAGCTGTGTCTGACTCTTTGTGACCCCATGTACTGAAGCATTCCAGGTCTCCCTGTCCTTTGCTATCTCCCAGAATTTGTTCAAACTCATATCCATTGAGTCAGTGATGCCATTCAACCATCTCATCCTCTGTCACCCACTTGTCCTCCTGCCTTCAATCTTTCCCAGTATCAGGGTCTTTTCCAATGAGTTGGCTCTTCCCATCAGGAGGCCAAAGTTTTGGAACTTCAGCTTCAGCATCAGTCTTTCCAACGAGTATTCAGGATTGATTTCCTTTAGGATTTATTGGTTTGATCCTCTTGCTGTCCCAGGAATTCTCTAGAGTCTACTCCAGCACCACAATTTGAAAGCATCAATTCTCTGGTGCTCAGCCTTCTTTATAGTTCAACTCTCACATCCATACAAGACTACTGGAAAAACGACAGCTTTAGCTATATGGACCTTTGTCAGCAAATGATGTCTCTGCTTTTTAATACACTGTCTAGGTTTGTCATAGCTTTTCTTCCAAGGAGTAAGCGTCCTAATTTCCTGACTGCAATCATCATCCACAGTGATTTTGGAGCACAAGAAAATAGTCTGTCACTGTTTTCACTTTTTCCCCACATATTTGCCCTTAAGTAATGGGACTGGATGCCATGATCCCGTTATTTGAATGTTGCATTTTAAGACAGTTTTTTCCCTCTCCTCTTTCACCCTCATCAAGAGGCGCTTTAGTTCCTGTTCACGTTCTGCCATTAGAGTGGTATCATCTGCATATCTGAGGTTGTTGATATTTCTCCCAGCAATCTTGACTCCAGCTCGTGATTCATCCAACCCAGCATTTCGCATGATGTACTCTGCATATAAGTTAAATAAGTAGGGTGACAATATACAGTCTTGACATATTCCTTCCCCAATCTTGAACCGGTCCATTATTCCCTGTCCAGTTCTAACTATTGCTTCTTGGCCTGCATACAGATTTCTCAGAAGACAGGTAAAGTGGTCTGGTATTCCCATCTCTTTAAGAACTTTCCACAGTTTGTTGTGATCCACACAAAGACTTTAGTATAGTCAGTGAAGCAGAAGTAGATGCTTTTCTGGAATTCTCTTGCTTTTTCTATGATCCAACAGATGTTGGCAATTTGATCTCTGATTCTTCTGCCTTTTCTAAACCCAGCTTGTACATGTAGAAGTTCTTAGTTCACATACTGCTGAAGTCTAGCTTGAAAGATTTTGAGCATTACCTTGGCATGTGAAATGAGGGCAACTGTATGGTAATTTGAACATTTATTGGCATCACCTTTCTTGGGACTGTAATGAAAACTGATTTTTTCCAGTCCTGTGGCCACTGCTGAGTTTTCCAAATTTGCTGGCATATTGAGTGCAGCACTTTAACAGCATCATCTTTTAGGATTTGAAATAGCTCAGCTGGACTTTTATCACTCCCACTAATTTTATTCGTAGTAACACTTCCAAGGCACACTTGACTTCACAATCCAGGATGTCTGGCTCTAGGTGAGTGACGACATGAACAGAAAAGCCTGGCGGGCTATAGTCCATGGGGTAGTGAAGAGTCAGACATGACTGAGTGACTAACAGTTTCACTTTCTACAGGCCATCCTCTGCCCCAAACACACACAAACACACACATACACACCAGTCATTGTTTTGTATTCTGTGCATTCATGTGGTTGGTGCCAATCTTTTAACAGCATGATCAAGTTGCTTTTTTGGTCATTCTCACTTTATAGGGTGTAAGCTCCTTGAGGGAAAGAGCTTGTCCATCTGATTCACAAATTTCATTGCAGTATATAACAAGTGGAGCTTGGTAATAAGGTGGCCAACCATCCTGATTTGCCAGGGACTGAATGGTTTCCTAGGACAATGGACTTTCAGTTAAAGCCAAGAGTGAGTGAGTGAGTGAGTGAAGTCACTCCCTCGTGTCTGACTCTTTGCGACCCCATGGACTGCAGCCTACCATGCTCCTCCATCCGTAGGATTCTCCAGGCAAGAGTACTGGAGTGGGTTGCCATTTCCTTCTCCAGAGGATCTTCCCGACCCAGGGACCAAACCTGGGTCTCCAGCATTGTAGGCAGACGCTTTACCATCTGAGCCACCAGGGAAGTCAAGAGAGTAGCAGGCAAACGGGAACGATCAGTCACCCTACCTGGCACATGGTAAGCATCTGGCAAATAGCTAATATGCAAATACTACAATAAAGAAGGAAACGATCCAGGAAATAGTTATAAAATGATGAAAGGGATGAGGGTGGTGATGGGAAGCACCCAAAAAGACTCCCCAGAGAAAAGGCTTTATTGGCCCGGGGAGGAAGATGCTAAAAGTAGATTTAATCCAAATCTTTAAGATCATCAGCTGGAAACACAAGAAGCTTTAAGAACATTTGAATACATTATGGTTCACAGGGACAAGCCAAAGTGTTTGGGTCTATCTATAACTTTTTTAAGACTGATGTATAAAATGACTATATATTCCCTAAAACCCCTCATAGAGACAGACCCTTGGATTGCCTGGCTCATGAGTTGAATTGCTGTTTCCATTCAGCACATAAATATTATCATAACAGCATTAAAAAGGAATTTTAAGGAAGGAAAATAAATTGCTCCTGTTGACTAAAGCCAGTCCAACAACTAATTTTCTTTTTATATATTCTCTTTTAGTCCTTGCTTATAATTCTACATAATTATAATCAGAGTGAACATACAAATTTGTATACCATTTTTTAAAAAACTATAGATTATGCAGCAAACATTTTCTATGTTGTTACATTGTCTCCATGGTTAGTTTTTTAATGGCAGTAGAATAGTCTATAACTCACTTAACACATTATTGACCAGAGACGATGTATTAGGGTCACAGGGGTTAGTTTCTGCGAAAATCCCTCTGTCAATAATGTGTTAACAAATCCCCATGGTTGACATTTAGATTGCTTCCAGTTTTCTACTAATAAAGACAATCCTGCTGTGAATATCTATGTGCACATTTCTTGTTCCTTCTTTTGTAATATTTCCTGAGGTTAAATTCCTACAAGTGAGATTACTAGGTCAAGGGATAGAATAATTTTAAGGCTTATCCTTTCTTTCACGAAATATTTATTGAACAGGGACTATGGGCCAGAGACGGTGCCAGGCACCGAGGATCCAAAGGTGAAAGGAGCCAGTGTCTGTCATCCTGGGGGTCACAGGCAAGTGGGAACACAATCACTTAAGTGATACAGTTGGATACCTGCTGCCATTGTGATAGAAACAGACCTATGGGACCCTGGGGAATGACTTAAGTGCTGAGAAAGAGGGCGTGGTCAGGGTGGAATTTACTTGCAAATTACGTGGAACTCTTAGGAAATGTCAACCTGGTGGACAGGCTGGGGATGGAAATTCTAAATAAAAACAGCAAGATCCAAATGAGGACGACATGAGAAAATGTATTCTAGGAGTTACTGGTGGCTTGATAATGCTGGGGTCTAGGTGCGGTCATGGAGAGGGTTCCCAGGGGCTGATGAGGGGACAGGAGACCCAACAGGTTAGGCAGGCAGCCTGTACCCTGCCAACGAGTTTGTATTTTACCCTCAAGGTAGGGAGAAGTCAGTAATGGATTTTAAGCAGACTCTTGATACATTTTTACAAATCATTCTCTAAATTGTTTGTACGCAGTGACATCAAGAAAAGCTTTTCTAAAGTTGCCCTGTCCTGATTCTTTAGGGGATCCCTGGGTCTCTATTTCTGCCATAGGAAGGGGGTGGGGCAGGGAGGAAGGGACCATGGCCTCTGGCCTGAGGCTGTAGTCCAATGGCTGTTACAGTTGAATGGAGATGAGCTTTACCCCAGGAGGAAGAGATGGAATTGCTGAAGATCTTCCAGGACTAGAAAAAGAAGCAAAGAGGGGGTTAGAATGAGATGTACTACTTCTGTCACCTCCCACAAAATGAAGCTAACCAAAAATTCAGGCTCACTCTAAAGCCTCTTAAGCAGAGGCCTCCTGGTCCCCTTACGCTGCTCTAGAACCTTACCGTGGGTAGCGTGGCTTAGTCACATTGACCAGTGTGGGGAGATGGATGTGATTCCTTTATCTCAGAAGCCTGGAAGCTACTTGAACTTGCTGCCACTTGTTGACTGGGGCCCTGGAGAGAGCATCAGCTGCTGGCCTTTCCTAGTGATCCCTTCTGCTCTCATAGCCCTCATTGTCCCCTAAATGCACAATGCCCATTAGTGACTCCGGGGCTCTGAACAATGCTCTTCCTTCTACTGGGATTACGCTTCTCTCTGTCTGTCTGGCTAACTCTGCCTTGATCTTTTGGATCTGAAGCCAGGCTCCATGAAGCCCTCTGAGCCCTCTAAGAGCCCAGCCATCCCTGGACCCTGCACTTACAGCTTTCACTGTACTTGTCAACTAGGGCATCCTTGGGTGGGTGTCTTGATCTCCCAGTAGCCTGTGAACATCTTGAAGGCATGGACCAAGCATTACTCATCTCTGATTCCAGTGCCCACCCAGAGTCTGGTACCTGCAGGTTCCAACTGAATTCTTAACTAATATTAGGTCATGTGACAAGCTGACTATGAGAAAGAGGAAAAGGGGAGGTGGCACAAGCACTCTCAGCTACAAAGGCCCCTGCGCTGTGTCATTCCATTGGGATGCATAAGAGATGCTTGGAGCCCCTGAGGATGCTATCTGTCCCTTTTTCTCTTGGCTACATCTTCTTCTCTCTGCCTCCTGTTACCTTCCCCTCAGCTCCTAAAGACGCGATTAGGCACCCACCCCAGGTTTCTGTCTGCTCACCTTTCTCTCCACCCTGGGGCTGGAAGAAGCTGGGCCAGCAGCACAGTTTCCCTGCCGACTCTAATTCCTGTCCCTTATTAAATTCAAGGCTGATTTGGGCTGTGTGAGCTTTCCTGGACCACCTGCTGTCTGACCAATTCCTTTTCTTCTTCTCCCCCTGGTGACTAATAGCTGCTCTTTCCTCCCTTCGGAGTCTCAGGATCTCCTCTCCCTACTCCTCCCTACCTGTTCAGACCCCCATGGCTCCCCGAAGCAAGGATCTGCAAAGCCAGGCCTTGCCCTCCAGGCAGCTCCTTTGGGGCCTGGGGTTCCTCTCTCCAGGGAGGGGCTGCTGAGAAAGGAGAGCATGGCTGGGAGGGGGATGGAGGCCAAGGGAAGGAGCAGGAGGGATAGAGAGGCTGGGGCTGCCAAGCAACCAGGGGAAGCTTCTGGAAAGGGAGGTAGAGCCTGAGAAGGATGAAAGCCTGGGACAGATAATAGAGCCCCAGAGCAAGAAAGGATTGAAGATGGGAGATGAGACGACAGTGTAAGCAAAGGGCACTGAAGGGTGTCAGAGAAGAAGGCAGCTCGGTGAGGCTGGGAGCCCGAGACAGCAGAACTGCAACAAAACAAATGTTCACACTTGAGGACCTGCAACCTCCTGTCGTTTTCAGAGGCATAGAAGCACCTTGGAATGAGCACAGAAAGCCCTGCTACGTGGGTGAGCAGGGTGAGCCTTGGACCTGGGCTTCAGCCACAGAACCCAGCTCTGGGCGCTCCCTGAAGGCTGAGTGTGTTGCACACACATATGCGTGTGCCCATGAGCCCACGGCTAGCTGGGAATTAGATCCCAACACTACCAGGGTCCAGGTTTCAGGCGGGTAACTGAGGAAACATAGATGGTGCTAATACCTTGGGCACCTGGCCGGGGCATAGGCACATCCGCCTCACAGGGAGCAGAGTATCACACCAGGTGTCAGAAGCTACGTGTTCGAATCCCACCCCTAGCCCTGGCCCTGGAACTAGTCACTGGGTGTCACTGAGCCTCTGTCCTCAGCCGTGTTCACAGCCCCAGCTCTGCGGCTTGTCATAACTGGCGAAAAACGGGTATAGAAACATTTCCCAAATGGCAAAGCACTCCAGAAACAGGAAGCTGATTTTCCTCTTTCCGGCCAGGCGATCACAGGACGGGGCAGAGGGAGACCTCGGACACCCCAGGCTGCCTGCGAACTCCGTGTGGGTGAGTCTCCCCCCATTTTTGCTCCAGTCAATCCGAATTTTTCTCCATTCCACCACCCCCCCACGCTCCCCCCCTCATCTCTCTCTCTCTTACCCCTGGGCCTTGGCACATTGCTCCTTCTGTCTGGATGTTTTCTCGCCTTCTCTTTGCTCAGCTGAAACAACGACTCACCTTCTGGTCTCTGCTGAACTGTGGCTTCTTCCAAGAAGCCTTCCCAAACTCACCAGTGCTCATGAGTTCAGCGTGGCTGCTGCATTCATGGAACCCTGTGTTTCTAGGAGTGTGTGAGAGAGAGACAGTGTCTGCATGAGGGGGAGGTGGCTGAGTCTCTCAGTCCTAATTATAGCCGACTCCAGGCCCCGGGACCAGCGTGGAGGATGGCCACAGCCGCGCGTGGGTGCCCGGCCACCTGGCTACCAGCTGCCACTCTCTCCACGCTCTTGGGGAGAAGCCACAGGAGTCTGAAATGTTTTCTGGGTCACCGCCTAGCACCTGGTCTCTCCCTGAGCCCCCAAACCCGCCTTCGCCTATTCACAAGGAACGGTTGCCATGGTGGTGACTCAGCCTTCCGGGCCCGCTGAGGGGGAGGCCCTGGGCTTTGGGGACCCCAGGCGCCCTGGCAGGGGCACCTCTGCCTTTGTGAGCAGGGCTCTGGGTGACTCACAGGGGTGGGGGGACGCGCCTGCGTCCAGCTCTGCCTTCAGACACGCAGGACACGCTGAGAACTTGCCTTCCCCGGGTCCACCTCGCTTTCCCAAGGGAGGTACTCTGTCCCCCGGAACAGGGTTGCCAGGCCCTTCCATGGGACTGGGACTGGTTTATCGCCTCATTCAGGCCTCTGCAGATGTCACCTCCTCAGAGCAGCCCCCCTCCCGTACCCACCCCCCATCATTCTGTTTAAAACAGGCCCCCTTCCACTTCTAAATCTCCACCTGCTGTTTTTATCATACCACTCAGTGTGACTGGGTCATAACCCTTTTTTTGGTTTTGTGTGGGGGTTTTTGGTGTATCCAGTGTCTGTCTTCCTGCAGAATGAAAGCTAGAGGAGGGCAGAGATTTTGTTGACCTTGCTCCCACTATGCTAGCTGGTCTCCAGGCGCTCCTGCCCCTCCTCTGGTCCCTTCTCTGCCTGGCTCTGGCCTCAGGAGACTGATCTCTGGGCATTGTACCTCCCAGATTCTCTTGATGACCAGCTCCTGACTGCGTTGTGGCCAATGTGGGCACCAGACAGAGATCAGAAGGCAGGGGATTCTTTCCCTTTGACAACAGGGATCTGGCAGGTTCGTCCCTCCACATCGTGGCTCTCACCAGACAGCCTCTCCCCTATGATTCCAGGCTCCCAAGCTACACTCAGTAACTCTACCACTTCTGGCTGGCCTGTGGTTTGGTTTCAGAGCCCTCACCAAGCTTCGGGGGCCCCCTTGACCCACTCACATCTCTGTAAGGAGTCCTTCCACTGCCGCTTCTTCATCTGAACTACCTGCACTGAAACCATCTGCTGGGACTCAGACCCAACTCTGGTCCAGTGGAACAAATATTGTTGAATGGATAATTTCAGGGCTTCCCTGCTGGCTCAGTGGTAAAGAATCCACCTGCCAATGCAGGAGACGTGGGTTCGATCCCTGGGTCAGGAAGATCCCCTGGAGAGAGAAATGGCAACCCACTCCAGTATTCTTGCCTGGGAAATGCCATGGACAGAGGAGCCTGGCGGGCTACAGTCCATGGGGTCACAAAGAGTTGGACATGACTTAGTGACTAAACAAACAAACAGAAAGATTGATTCCATGAATGGCAGGTGCCTCAGGCTGAGCCTCTCAGAAGCCCAGGCTCTGGTATGGAAGGACAGAATAGTAGGTGATAAGTTCAAGGCAGACATGGGCTCTCTGCATAGAACAGCACTCCAAATAATTCCCAGACCAAGAGCACCATTCATATTTTTAAAGGTTATGAGTAAGAAAATTCCAGAGTCTCCCTCAGTGGCCTGTTCTTATGACATATAACTCTCCCTGGCAGAAATATCTTCCTCATGTCTAACCCAAATCCCTTTTATTATAGTTGGAAACGCCTTCTTCTTGATCTAAAGATAAATGTTGCATCTCTATGATATTATTCTAGGAAATCATTCCACTACATTTGCATGAAGCTTTCTAGTATGTTAATATACTAAATGAGAAAAGCAAAGAACACAAAATCTGAGTCCAGAAAAGCTGAAGTATTGGTTCTGGCACATCATGTTGAACAACTTCTGGCAACTCGTTTAAGCTCCCAAATATCTTTTTGTCATCTATCAGTTGGGAATAATGGTGAGCCTGGCCCTACTCCTGCCTTGCATTTATGAGCATCAGATGCAAAGACTGTGTCAATAACAAAGAATCCTATATTCAAATGTTAACTGATGCTCTCATCCTCTTCAGAATATTTAATCCCAGGATCTGCAATTGGGCTTCCATAGTGGCTCAGTGGTAAAGAATCTGCCTGCCAGTGTAGAAGGCATGGATTTGATCCCCAGAGAAAGAAATGGCAACCACTCCAGTGTTCTTGCCTGGAAAATCCCATGAACAGAGCAGCCTGGAGGGCTACAGTCCATGGGGTAGCAAAGAGCTGGGCATGACTTAGAGACTGAACAACTACAATCTGGGATTGTCTTAATGTTATCTTTTTCAAACCCTCCTGAAACTGAGCCACACTTTCCTGGTATTGTCTGTACCTGGGGCATGGGATGGGGCGGGAGAATCACAGTTTCTCTTCCATGATATTGTTGTATTTGTGGTCCATCTGAGTGTGGTGGGAGAGACAGCAATCTGACCAGGCAAAAGCCTTGGTTAGGATGCTTGATTTCCTAAGAGAATGCCAATTCTGCCACCTACTTGGTTGATTTCTGAAGGAGGTTTGCTACTTTGTGTTGACAACACAGAATGCCAACACTCTACACCTTCACTGGGAAACAAACTCAGATCGTCTGCTGCTGGCTGTTATGAAGAGCCCAGTGCAAGAAATAATCATCATGTGAGATTATCTGAAGGACATGCCGCCCAGCTACTCCTCTAGATATTCTAGATTTTTATCCCTGGATCAAGTCAGACGATCTAAGAACTGCATTTCTGGACCAAATGGCTTTGGCTCCTTGTGGAAGCAGATTTATTGACTTGTGTTTAGTCATACGGTTTGAAGTTAGCACCGAAGAAATGCTTGAAGGAAAAGCTCTGAGTCTAGCTATTATGTTTAATGGAAGAAGGGTATTTTTCAAATTGCTTGTGTGATTTCTCTGTTCCTTTTTGATGTCCCATATGGGAAATCCTCAGTTTCAGCTTCTCCAGGGAAACTGGTCTAATTTTGACTAACGGACAATGCAAAATTCATCACTGATGAATTTTTGGCTTTCCTTTTGTCTTTGGTTGTTAGGAAGCTCAGTCCTTAGGGCATGAATTTCTGTGTTCTAGCTTTTCCTCAGTCTCATATTTCTTTTTCTCCTCATCTTCACTTTATCCCAACCATTTATCTATGCTTTCTCTTATTGTGGTGTATCATTAATTTTTGTAACTCTTAAAAAAACAGACTGGTGGTTCAGAGTACTACGAAAATTTGGCAAAGGGATCAGACTAGTGTAGACAAAAGCAAAATAAAGATAAGCATCCACTGAGAGGTGGACAGTAGCACACTTTTTTTTTTCATTAACTTTTCACATATCCTTTGTGATTTACTGAATGCTTTCTATAACATTAGGTCCAACGGTTATAAAAGAAAATAATATTCATTAATTTAGCAAATGTTTATTAGGATCTGCCAGGTGATAGACATATAATAGGAAACAACATGACTTCAGCCCTTGCCTTCATGAAGCTTTACAGATGGCAGAGAATGCAAGTAATTTCACAAAAAACTACCTTCAGGTGTGAGGATCGTGTTCACCGGAGAAAGTACCAAGTGGGGAATCTAATTCTATCTGGATTCTGAAGGGTCTGCCTAGGGAAGGAATGTTTAACCTATCTGAACAGGGATAAGGAATTAGAGAAGCAAACAGGAGGAAGAAGGGAGGGAAGGATGTCCCCAGAAGAATGAACAACATGTACAGATGTCAGGAGACAAAAGGAGTCATGTCCTCAGGTGAGAAGATAGGCAAACCTATTTTCATCTGTGAAATGGAATACTACTCAGTCATTAAAAAGAAAAACCTACTGATACACACAACTTGGGTAGATCACAAAGATAATACTGAGTGAAAGAAGTTGTTCTCAGAAGGTTATATGCTATATGTATGATTCCATAGGTATCCTGAAGAAAACCACAGTGATGGAGAACAGATTAGTGCATGTTAGGACTTAAAGAAAGGGAAGAGTATGATCACTACGTATGAAGAGGTAGATTTTATGTAATGTGAAGAGGTAGATTTTTTGTAATGTGAAAAGGTAGATTTTACAGGAGTGATGGGATTCTTTTTATTCTGATTGTGATGGTGGTATAGACCATTACCCATGTGTTATAATTTATAGAGTTGTAAAGCCTTTGACTATGTGGATCACAATAAACTGTGGAAAATTCTGAAAGAGATGGGAATACCAGACCACCTCACCTGCCTCTTGAGAAACCTGTATTCAGGTCAGGAAGCAATAGTTAGAACTGAACATGTAACAACAGACTGGTTCCAAATAGGAAAAGGAGTATGTCAAGGCTATATATTGTCACCTGCTTATTTAATGTATATGCTGAGTACATCATGAGAAATGTGGGGGGGATGAAGCACAAGCTGGAATTAAGATTGCCGGGAGAAATATCAATAACCTCAGATAGGCAGATGATACCACCCTTATGGAAGAAAGCTAAGAAGAACTAAAGAGCCTCTTGATGAAAGTGAAAGAGGAGAGTGAAAAAGTTGGCTTAAAGCTCAACATTCAGAAAACTAAGATCATGGCATCTGGTCCCATCACTTCATGGCAAATAGATGGGAAGACAGTGGAAACAGTGGCTGAATTAATTTTTCTGGGCTCCAAAATCACTGCAGATGGTGACTGCAGCCATGAAATTAAAAGACACTTACTCCTTGGAAGGAAAGTTATGACCATCCTGGATAGCATATTAAAAAGCAGAGACATTACTTTGCAACAAAGGTCCATCTAGTCAAGGCTGTGGTTTTTCCAGTGGTCATGTATGGATGTGAGAGTTGGACTATAAAGAAAGCTGAGTGCAGAAGAATTGATGCTTTTGAACTGTGGTGTTGGAGAAGACTCTTGAGAGTCCCTTAGACTGCAAGATCTAACCAGTCCATCCTAAAAGAAA